TCAATATATTGTGAACTTCCTAAAATAATTATGTTATCAAAAATGACAAGAACTACTTGACAATCTGAATTTGAATACCTGTCATAATATCTACTGCACTTAAACAGCGCCCTCTATCATCTGAAGTGAAATAGTTTGAGTTGTACTAAAAGACAGCAAATATTCAGACTAATTGGGGACTTGTATCTTAAGAAGGTTTTTTAAACTTAAAGTAAAATATCTACATTTATAGATTAGCAAACATTATGCACTATTTGTACGTAGAAAGAAAATGTCTGGCTTATTAGCATATTAAAACATAGCGTAACTATTACAACGTTGTCCATTGAGAACCTGGATTAAACAAGTCACTGTTTTAATGACAATCCCCGTTGAAATTAGAGAAAATGTTATTCATACCAAAAATATGGACTAAAAGCATAGTTAGTAATTGAAAGTGAATAATTGGCTGGTCTAGTACCAACAGAAATGTATTAAATGATTTTTTCAAAAGTGAAATATATTGTCAGAAATTAAACAGGCTATGCTATTCATGCATTATTTGTATCTAAACTGAATTTCATTTGTCCAGACTCAAAAGTGTGTGTCATTTATTTGTCAATGGGTTACCTAATAACATTATTTCTACCAGTGCTTTGATGCCAGGAAATTAAACACACTTTACAATTTCATGAGAGAAGCATTGATCAAAAATAAACTTGAAAGAAGTGATGAAGGACACATGTACATGTATTTATAATTCCACCCAGTTGGCAGTTTTTAAAGTTGTTTTTTAAATATTTCGGTTCATTTTTTAGACATTTCAATCTTTCCTGACGTAGTATGATGTTTATTGTGACTAGCGTGAATGGGTAAGCTTCGTTTCGACAATGAGCTGTTATCACTGTAAACAATGTTAAATTATTCAAATGCTTATCTTTTGAAAACAGCTATATTTTATTTCAAAAAAAAAAAACATGCTGTTTTCCTATCAAAATCTAAGCCACAAGATCGTACTACAACATCGGCAAATCTCTTCCGTGTTGCATTAAATAATATTACAATATTTAAATGAGCTATGGTAATTTGAACACGTTGGCATCATCCAGCATTTTGATTGGTTAATTAGCAATTTGATCTATTAATTTGACTCATTTCCAATCCTGTACTCACCTGGCTGTATAGGACACACAGGAATTACCATATTCACATATATCTGTCTATATTTAATATACCACTGAGGGCAAACATCATGTTCCTTATAAGGCCTTGAGTACGGTGGCAAAACAGACACTTGGTACTTGACTTTAGCATGTGACTTGCTATATACTGTATTATGATTATTGTCGAACATTTCCTCGCTAATCAGCCATGCTCTGATGTTAACGTCCTTCACATTAATACTGTTTTTGATGATGTAATCTTCTCGATATCCCATAATATCAGGTAGTAACAAAAGTATATGTTTGACCTTTGACCCCTGTTGCATAGTTACACATTTCCAGAATCGTTCAAACACCTTCACGTGTTGACGTAGTTCGGAGCTTGCATAGATCTGAACACCCGCAACGCTATTCTTACTGCAGTGATACTCCACTCGAAGTACATATTTTGGTGTCAATAAACTCGGCACATTTTGTAAAATTATAAAATCTTTTTGGTGATTCAATTGCGTATTTATTGTCATGGAGATAGTATCTGGCTCAGGATTATTTTCAGCCTGAAAAAAAAATAACAAATTGTTTAAATGCCTTCTGAACCTATTTTAATGAATGCTAAGAATTACCCAGCATCTTATCATTCCCGCTTCTCATAGTAGGTGAAATGGAAAATCTAAGAAAGATGGTAATTAGCATAATCAGAGAATCTTTCATCACCACCACTGACATATTCAGAGAGTGATTAGACATATAGTTGTAAAGACCATGTCATTTCCTGGATTAAATACAGCACAAATTAAAACCGATTTTGCAAATCAAGTGTGTATGCGTACGAATTGTGCCTTTAAAATCCACTTGGCAAATCAAGTGTGTATGTGTAGGGATTGTGCCTTTAAAACCCACTTGGCAAATCAAGAGTGTATGTGTAGGGATTGTGCCATTAAAACCCACTTGGCAAATCAAGAGTATGTGTAGGGATTGTGCCTTTAAAACCCACTTGGCAAATCAAGAGTGTATGCATAGGGATTGGGCCTTTAAAACCCACTTGGCAAATCAAGAGTGTATGCGTAGGGATTGTGCAGGGTTCTCCCCAGAAAAAATGCATAGCGCTGCAACTAATTTGCATATTAATTTGCATAATAATTTGCATATCATTTACATACATTTCCTTCATTAATTAACAGAACTCATTTACAATTATGAATATTAATGAGCTCAGTCACAGTGCAAATTTTTTTTTAATGGAATCAACACATTATGTTTCACAATTTAGAAGAGTTTGAAACATTCTCGAAATACTGATGCTGCAGACTAAAAACAAACACAAATAAATTTTTGTTGCAATTTAATTGTCTATTGTAAAACGTTGAATAAAACGCATTCGAAACGTTAAGCCAGAAATATGTTCACGAATTTCATGATTTTATTTACTCCAAAAACATTCACCTTCAAAAAATCGACAACGTAATTAATTGGCGTATTGTTGTAATTTAT